AGGTGCCAGAATGCAGTGTCCGGCAGATCACGGCGCTGAGGCTTTTAATCTCCGTACACGCGGAAACCGAGCTTTGACATCCACTTGTAATTACGGATTCCAGGACCAGACGCACTCAGCCTTGTTGAATTCACACACTACTTCAACCTTCAGCTTCCAGTGGACCCCGCAGATCCCGTCCACCATGCTGGGTTTGAGCAGGAGAACACGTGTCCACAAAGAAACCCTCTAGTGAAAAGGGAACATCAGGAATCAAAGGACCTCTCTACCCAACAGGAAGTTCAACGGCCTTTTTAGAGCTGGGTGTGATTAATTAATCCAGTAACCAGGAATATCTCAAATAACCCAGTGTCCATATTCTTGGGTGGAATATGATGTTCTTCTGCGCCCCCTGGTGACCAGAGAGATAATACAGGATTGGGTGTGTGGATTGCCTGGTAACAAAGCCAGGCAAGCATGACGATGACAAGAACACAGATTATTCTTGGAGTGGTGATTTACAGAGATGTCTTTACACAGTAATATGGAGACCTCTCCCCTGGGAACAGGGATTCTGTTATTACTGACAGTTTATTCTGCTCCCTTTGACGTCCATAAAGCTGACTTTGTGGGGACGGTATGTACCACTGGTGAGTTTGTCTTAAATGAATGATGGCACCTTTGATGCTTTTTATTCTATCGTGGGATTTAATCTTAAAGGCAGCACTATAAAGGGTTCAGGGTCAGCTAAATGGTGCATCTATTTAATCGATGAACTTCTTGGAAGGCAATAGATCTTTGGTTGGAGGAGGCTTTCAGCCTCTAACCATGCGGAGCCTAACCGCCATGCGGAGTCTAACCGCCTTGCGGAGCCTAACCGCCATGCGGAGTCTAACCGCCTTGCGGAACCTAACCGCCATGCGGAGTCTAACAGCCATACGGAGCCCAACCGCCATGCGGAGCCTAACCGCCAGGCGGAGTCTAACCGCCATACGGAGCCCAACCGCCATGCGGAATCTAACCACCTTGCGGCTAGTCCTTGCTCATAGTGAACCCAGCGGGAAAACATGTTTGGCAAAGACTGAGACACATGAAAAACAGTGATTCGTAATCGTTGACCACACCCCCCTCCCACCAACCCCTCCTAAGTGTCTGAGGTTACAGTCCGCCATGTAGAGTCACAGATTGGCCACTCAAAGTGACTGTGGAATACTATCACACATAAGATAAGCTGAATTTCAATCACACGCCGCTCTTCCAGAGAAGGACGTTGGTGTCCTGGTGAAAATGACAGGCTCTTCCCTTTGATTATCCACCTCCTGCAGGAACTCCAGTGCTGCATCATCCACTCTGATGGCCTCTCTGTGCCTCTTTCGGAATAATGGAAGCTGGAGATACAGGTAACAGCTCCTGTCCACCCTGTTGATGGTCGGCCTCCACCCTCTTCTCCGAAATGCTGAGTTTCTGCAGAGACCGGCTCCTTTATGCAACAGCATCTCCAGTCAGATGCATTGACAGGTGAAGAATGTAATCCATCACCCTGTGAGCCACATCTTCGAGAACAGAGTTCCCTTATCTCCCACAATACCTTGTGAAGCCTGGCTGTCTCTTATCCATGTGCAGGATGAGATAATGTTATGGGGGAGTAAATATTGTGGTACAGTCATTAACGATGTAATGGGATTCATTAATTAACAGTAATGTAACCGTTTTTCTGAGTGAAGAAGTTGTGTATTGTCTTCAACTTAAGAGCACAGAATTGGAATCAAGGGGATTCCTTACAAGGTGCACAGACTTCTGGGTAATATTTTGCATAAATGTTTTTCAAGCCGCTTCTTTCTGGTGAGTTACTGACTGCGATATACTCTGGGCACATGCTGCTGTCCCTCTCTCACCCACCCTGAAGTCCATCCTGCCTACTGCCTTTCCCCATTACTCCTGTGATGAAAAATGCACAAGGTTTTCTTCTCTGAATCCCTCACTGGTATCTGCTGCTCCCCACCATCCCTCGGAATGTTCCGGAATACCTCCCATTAAACTTTAAGGCATAGTTCAGAGAGCCCGGCTCTCTGTCTCTGAAAGCAATCGTGGCATTTTGTAAATGAGGGTGCCGAGGGGACGGCATGGCTAGGAGGATGTAGAGAGTTAGTGCAAGGGTTCGCCTAGCGTTAATAACAAGGTGGGCCTGGAGCCTGGAGCTTCTGAGTGCCAGGGTGAGCTTCCACGGCCTGCGACATTGGAGCAATCCAATTACGCCCCCTCGCCGCCTCCATCTGCTACTCCCACATCAAAGTGGCACTACTCACTGTGTCCCCAGCATCCCCGTCCTTTCCAGGGGACAATGATGTCCAAGACAACACGAGGCTTGAACAGTACCGTGTTAGCATGTGTTTTAGCATCATGTATTCTGATTAGACACACTAGCATTTTCCACACGTGAGCTTTAGCATGCGTGTTAGCACCTTTTTCTGTGATACTGGCACGCTAACATTTTCCACGTGCGAGATTTAGCAAGTGTGTTAGCACCCCGCGCTGTGACTACGGCACGCTAGCATTTTCCATATGCGAGCGTTAGCATGTACGTTAGCATGCTGCTCTGTGACTACGGCACGCCAGCATTTTCCACATGAGAGCGTTAGCATGTGCGTTAGCATCCTGCACTGTGACTATGGCACACTAGCATTTTCCACATGCGAGTGATAGCATGCGTGTTAGCATTAGGCACAAGTGGGGGGGGGGGCTGCATGCGCATGTATGGAAAGACGTGACATCCCCCCTGTAATCTTTCTCACGAAGACAAACACAGCAGATGTTTGGAGCAGGAGCCCTTTAGCGTGGCCTTCAGACAAATGAGCCCCGCATAAGTGATGAGGCTCAGCCATCAATAATTCAGCCACGTGTCTGATTAGCTGATTGGATTGATGATGAGCTCTCAGTGACGCTCCGCTCTTACACTCGGAATCAAACCCTGCTATGAATCTATGTTTTTCCACGCCAGGGGTTCTTAATTATTTTTCTGCGCAGCCCATTTTTCAAAATTCAAGTGACACCAGGGTGGGGGATGCAGGGGGAACAGCTTTGGAAAAAAAAAGCCTGAAAAATATTTCAAAATAAAAGTCTCATTGAGACAGTTGGATCCACATGAAAATGTTATTGTCCCAGTATCTTTGGGCCTCCTGTTGCCCCCTGTAGACCACTGGACGCTAGTATCTACCAGTCAAAGTCCAGGTAGGGCTTTCCACTCTTGGGCTCCCTTGTTCTCTTTCTTCAGTGTCAAGTACAGGTTGTCAAGAATGTCCAGATGTTCTCATCAGCTGAGGAATCCCTCTCTGCCTGGTGAAGGACATCATCCTGCCTTCAGCCAGGCCTGCGGGGAGAAGCTAGGGCAGCGTGAACTCAGGGAGAGAAGGGGTGCGGGTATCGAGGTATTCTGGGAGAGTCAGGGACACCAGACTGGTGTTTAAACACCCACCGCATTTCATAAAAAGTCATTAATAGACACATGATGACTGCACAGAAATGCCTACATTGAGATTAATTTGATTTCCAGCTCATTGACATATTCGCAAGTTCCGTGCATTATGGGTAAAATGCTGAAAGTAATCGCATTGCCCCTTTCATCAGAGCCACTCCCCCAAGTTTCACTTCACTCCGGTCCAGTCACTCGGAAGACTTCTGCTCCTCCAAAGATGATGCCGTTTTCTTGTGTGGACGATGCACAGCGATATATTCTTAATGTCTGGCAGTAACAGTAAATCATTCATGGCGTTTACGCTCTGCTGTGGCCCTGTCAGGAAAACGCTGTGCTCTCCACACGTCAGGCGGGGGCCACGGGGCATTGGGGATGAGGGGGAGGAATAGAGGGGCAGAAGGGTAATGTAAGGGAGTGGGGGCCAGTTTTCTGGGGGGAGGGGTCGCCATGGCGTCTGTTACCTGAGCTTACTGATCTGTCCAGTACAGCTCGAGCCCCCAGAATCCCCCACCCACCTGAGACTCTCCATGTTGCCATAGTAAATATGGATGCGTGGCTCTATAAATACGATCTCCAAGAAAACAAACAAAAATACTTGCGCCTGCCTATCACTTACAAAGATTGGCTGTCCACCCAGCTGCGCGTGTGGGTGTATCAGCTGACACCGATGCAGTGTTTAATCAGATACTGCCTCTTCCTGGGTAATAAACATATATGCAGATATGTAGGCTATATAAACACATATATAAGAGCATATATGAATTTAAGTATCACACCAGCTGTGGCATAATGGTAAGAATGTGACTTTGGAAGTACATGGAGTAGCAGAGAAAGATCTTAGCAAAACAAAGAGGTGACAGAAAGCAGTAACATGGCCGATCGCGGCAGGATAACAGTGTTCTTGAACACGGCGCACAAGTTCGCCGACAATTTCACAGTGACCGCCGCCTCTGCGCGTCAGGACAGACCGCACAGACCCCCCCGGGCACCACATCCATCCTTCAGACTAACACAGTGGCTTTGGGAAGTGCTGGTAGGGTGAGACGAGGCGTGTGCCACGCCTTTTGTGTCACATGTACTGTTTGAGAGTCCCTGCCTTTGACTACGGACCATCCCCCGCAGAAGTGCACCATCATCTGAAATGAGAACCAGTGGCCAGTTATCTCCAAGATAAAAGAAATCAAAAAGCCCATGATAATGTCAGTGATGCGATGCGGGACTTGGAGCCGCGATGCTCTCCCATTGTTCATGCGATCGATATTTCTGAAGCTTTTTTTAGAGTTCGTGCGTGTGTGTGTGTGTGTGTGTGTGTGCGTGTGCGTGTGTGTGTG